GGGGGAAATGACATGGTTCCGTGATGAGGCCACTTCCAAAAGGTTCGGAATGTCAATGTTTATTTCTTCATTATTTAGATTTGATTGCCATCCGACAGAAATCAGCTTTGAACTGTGTTTTCTAATTTGTCTCTTATTGAAACGTGATCAGATTTGGCTCATACAAATCTGTTCATCGCGTAAGGTTGCTGTTAGGGCAATTTTATGTGTTGTGAAGCGGTGAGGTGATACTGAACGACGCCGGAGGGAGCCCTTTTAGGGTTGTTGTGCTCTATTCTGACTGTAATACCAGCGAACCACTCCCTGTCAGTGATGGCACGGTACCCGAGGATGCACAAATGGATGAATTTAACCAATGAAATGCAATTTCAGTGCTCCATGCAAGCTGTCGCATACCAATCAAATGTATTATCGTTTGCTCATATTCCTGCCTGCCTGCATACAAATAACACAGATGTCTAAATTTTAGGTTTTGAAGGTAACTGCCTACGCTGCGGCTGCAGTGTCAGCTCTCCTGAAACATTCACAGCCTGGCGGAGCTGCATTGATGTTATAGCCGCTTTTACCTCATGTGTGTCATGTCTAGTTTTCAGCGACAGCATTAGTTTCTCACATGTTCGCTTGAATAACGAGCTGTGTTTTGTGTGCCAAAGGGTCTTGACATAGTGTGAAGGTTTCCCATCAGATTATAGTGACCAAAATTCACGGTTGTCAGTATTATCACTATATATGATAAATTGAAATGTAAAAAAAAAAATATTAATAATACAGAATCATGCGCCTAAAGCACTGCAACTTTTACTTTGAATTAAAAATAAAATTCAAATTAGTTACACAATTCACATCATGACATAAAAAAAAATGTAATGGCAGCACCAAAAATGTACATAAAACTATACAAGATCCTAAGGGGAAAAAAAAAAATCACAGCGAACATTTGACTTGTTGTCCTCAATATCCTTCTGCTATGGCTTTCTTTTCATTCTCTGTATACCTGGCATTCATGCAAAAATACTCCCACACTTCTCTCGCAGTCCTTTTTGAAGAGAAAACATTCTGCGGTCACCTGGGCCGCTTTTAGCCATGATTCCTCGCACGGTAACGTGCATTTTGCCGTCTTTGCTGTTTTCATCTTCTCTTCCTTGGGTTTATCTGTCATTTTTGTTTGTTTGCTATTACATCGCACACTGTATATGGAGAAACCAAAAGACTGCTACTACTAATCAGAGAAGCGAAATAGGAATGATATTCAAAATTCGATACGTTAATAATAGTGGTTTGAAATATTACCACTTGACTGGTAAAGCGTAAACCATTTCATCCTTAGCCGCCACCCGTTTTCGTCTCACACAGCGGCGACGGCGTCATGTGAAGGCAGATTTATAGAGTTAGCAGGGATTCCACTTGACATTTTGGGGCTCTGAAATGGGGAGGGTGAAACAAAAGACCATGTTATGAGCGGCAGCCAGCCCTTGGCACCATTGGGTGCCAGCCTTGGCACTGCGCCACACCCATTCAGTGTGATGGAGATTAGAGAATGTGAAAGATGTTTGGATACGAAGAGAAATGTCGAGCATCTCGTCATCTGATTTTTATCTGCCTCATTTGGTAACAGAGTAGTTTCAGCCGCTTAACATGGGCATTCACGTGACATTCTTGAAGCTGTGACATTATTGCAAATGGCTTATGTGGGGGCGGGGGGGACACTTTTTGTGCACCATTGTCGTTGGCTTTGGCTTGTGTTCTTTTGCTCATCTTTTCTCAGTTAGTTTCATCCTGGAGTTGTGCTCGAAAGGAGTCTTTCCAATACACGGCAGGCATTTTGATAAGTGTGTGTCGGCGAATGGCAAAGGCTTCTCAGCTCAGAAATGCTCTTTCCTGGCTTCTTTCTGAATATCTAATATCGCTGTTGCCTAAGCTGCATTCCCATCTCTGCGTCCATTCATTATTTATGGCTCACAGGCATGAATGGGACCCAAAAATACACATTCGCTACACTGTTCACCATGTTTAAATCTGCTGAATCTTCTATCACTGCTGCCTGACCTGTAAAACACCAGAAGGCTAACCCCCATGCCTTTCTCCATGGCAGGTCAGCAGGGGTCATGAGGGCACCGGGGCCCCTGGTTGCCATGCAGAGCGGCTGAAGCAGGCATGGACAAGAAGTCTCAGGCAGGAGCGGTAGGCCTCGTTGACTTCCCCAGCCGCCCCATCCTTTGCCACGACCTTCACCACTGGCTACGCACCACCACAGTATGTCTTGTGTTCGGTTTTCATCTCATCACATTAGTCAGGGAATAAATAAGTCAGATGTTACTGCCTTTTTCATATGACACACAATGTGTACATTTCATACTATTGGAATTCTTGGAAACACACAGGTGAGAGATATTTGAATTGTATGGAGAAACACCTTGGCTCATAAACAGCCGATTGTCATGAAATGAGCAACCTTCTATCCAGTCATTTGTATCGCTCGCCTTAATTGTGGATTGTGTCTTGAGGGTTTTTTTTTCCTGTCTCGCAGCCTGTGCGAATGAATGCAAATACATAGCTGCCATTGCACAGAGTGCATCGGCTGCAGCCGTCATTTGTACATTAGCGGAGCCATAACTCTCCTCGAGCACATAAACGGCAGTTTTTCTTTTTAGCCTCGCATACAGGATAACGGATTTGCTTCCGATCAGATTTGTGAATGTTTCCTTAATGAAAAGCTAAGGATGATGTAATGATCCATAAAACAAAGCAGGCACATTGCATTTATCCTCACTGTCGGGAAGCAAGGCATCAACATTAAAATGCATCAAAGTCTGAAGCCCAAAAATGTCTGACACTCCCGTCCCAAGGCAAAAATGTGTCTGGTGGAATGAATGATGCTGAGAGGCACAGAATACTGATTTACTGGCTCTTGAAAATATCTGTCCAGTAATGCAAATCTTTGAACGGGGCAACTCAGGAGATTTCACCCATCAAAATGTCAGTAGAAGACACCAAATATTCAAAGGAATGTGCAACACTCTGGAGTATTAAGCTGTTTTCTATCAGAATGTAAAAATAATGTAAAGCAGCAGCAAGCGATGCTTTTGTCAAACAACTGACAGGTCATTGAAATTCAGCTACAAACTCAGCGGTAGCCAGCTGTGTTTTTGTGCGCGTCTCAGCCCAGCACATTTGCTCTGCAGAACAACACTGTGGAAGAGTGGGCTACAAGTCAATAACTTTGACGTGAATGAATTGACTGTCACTTTTTCGCGCTTTTAGCATAAACAGTCAGTTATGTGCTTTGCTGCGCCGCCATCAGATAAGAAAATAACTGTGGTCGCGCAGCACCTTCTACTGCTGAGCGATTTTGAAGAATAATCTAATTGCGACCCCCAGGTCCTCTTCCCATGTCGTTTTTTTTTTTTTTTTTTTTTTTAAACAAACACAAGCAATACACTAATCTGTATTACAATAAACAAAATCATATACTGTATATATATAAAATACATAATGTGTATATATGTGTGTGTGTGTGTGTGTTTTGGTATTATAGGTTATGTTTGTGCTAAAATAAAGATAAATGAACCATTAATTGATATAAGATAGTTTTCTTCAATTACAGTTGTTAATTTACTCAACACTTTGTGCCATATATTCAGCATTGACTTTGACAACTTTATAACATTTTCATAAACATGACATATGGGGCTCTATAGTCATGCCCATCACAAGTCTAGCGTAAAGTAAGACCTCATTGTACACACGGGTGGAGTTGTCTCTCTTTTGGTATTTTTGCAGACAAGCCCAGTTATAACTGGGCAACTTACGCCGTTGTACGTATGAAGTTGCTGAAATCAAAAGCTCTTTAAATCAAAACATCAGTTACATTAGAGCATATTACCTCTTATTCGACGGCATCTTTGCAACTCTTGCAATCACTGCAATGATGAGGTGGGTTTTTTTTTTTTTTTTTTTTTGGGACAGCTTCTGCTTGAATTTCTTGCCAAAGATCTCAGAATGGTCTTCCAGAGTTGCTATTGGGTGTGAACTGCCTCCCACCCTCAAAGATCTTTGCTTAAGAATGCTCCAAAGGTTGTGAACGGGATTGAGGTCAAGAGAGGGTTGGAACCACACCACACGTTTCTCCCCTTTATACCCATAGCAGCCAAATATGGTGTATTCTTTGCGGCATGGGATTGTCCACTGACGATTGCAACCCTGGATGGTCAAGATGGATGGGATAGTGGATGGCCATTATGTCCCAACAAGGCTGCAACGACAGCAGAGAGGTAGCGAAGTCATGTTTTGAGCCAGAATAACGGATCCCTGACGGTGCGAAAAGAACCTCGGGAAAGTATGGGCACTTTGTGACCGACTACAAAATTCAGAACAGAACCTCTCAGTCACATTTCTTCATGTCAATGCACTATTTTATGCTGGAAGAAATTCCTCTGCATAATGGCCTGCTATGGGCATAAAATGAGGCAAACGTGTGTGTGGCCCCCGTCCTCCCCTACTGAGCACCATTGAGGCATCCTTACGCAAAAGTTCTAGGAGGGTAGGAGGCAGTAGCAAAAGATCTATGAAGTTGGGAGGCAGTCCACATCAGTAGCGAACATTGACAGTTTCCCAGATTGACCGTTAAATTAGGACAAAGAGGACCCACTTTTTGGTCATCCCTAAAAGAAAACCAAGGAGTCTGGTTCCTCTCCCAAGGCAGGGGGATGAGGACCCCCTCTCGGGAATGCGAACACTACACCAAACTGTGAACACAGTTCACAGTCAGAAATTCAGTAAATTTGTCTACAAATCAGACTTCAAAGGAGGACACACCACGGCTCGTTTGTTTAGGGTGACCTCTGATGAAAACGTCATCAAGCAAAGAGACACAAGCCAGACACCCAGCTCAACATTGGTGCTGTGATGACGACGATGGGACGACGACAAGACCTGCAAATGTCATTGTGTTGCAACAGATCAAACATGAAACTTCTTGTGTGCGCAATTTCAGTCCAACCTAACGAAATATTGTAAATGAGTTTCATTTCTGTGTACACTTCTTTAGCTTGCAGCATCTAGATTAGTTCGTTGGCATGTATTACAAATTGCAATTGTAAATCACAAAGCGTTTTTTTTTTTTCTTTCCGAATTAGTTGGTTGGAGTTCAAGAATTTGTTATATGCAAAGTAGAATCTTAAAATATATTATCAACAGTGGGACACCAGGTTAACTTTAAACCATTCTAAATTATTTGTTCAAAGAGAGCAAAGTTTTGAATAACTAATTAGTCCCCAAAATGTTACCCGAGACTACAGAAGTGGCCTCTGAATCTGAATTTTGCCAAAGATGAGATCCCTTTGTTTTCTCTTTTCTCTTCTCGCTGGAACCTGATGAACATCTACTTCCCTTTCTTTTTTTTTTCTTTCCAGGCAAATGATGTTGGCTTTTTTTTTTTTTTTGCCTCTCTCTCTTTTTGGCTGTGCACCACGTTAACTCATCTTGCAGCCAGGCCTTCGCAAATGCGCCAGGCTGAAGCATGAATCACAACTTTCTTTTGTCTGCCAAGCCCGACAAAACTTGTGAGCCGTGCGCTCCAAGAACTCTCTCACCAGCACACCTCCGAATATTGCCGCAGACTGACCACAAGAGCGAGTTGCACCGCCACTTCAAGTGTGCCGCGAGACCACATTTTGCTCTTTTTCCTTTTGATTTTTCTAAACCTCTCTTGCCATCCTTTTTCTTCAACTGACATCTAGCCACTGACTACAAGACTCAAATTAGGGAGAACTTCCCACATCTCATTTGGGGCCAACTCTGACAAACTGAGTTCAACATATGCCGAATTTACCAGATGTGTACAACTTGATTCTTTAATTGGGTTGAAGTGGTTAGGTTCACCTTCCCAGTTCCACATTTGTCTGGCTATAAAATTTCCTCCTGCAAAGATTATTCATTTTTATTTAATTTAATCCTATTAAATTATCATTCTTTGCTCCTCCTGCCCCTATAGTTGGTTTTATTTGTGATGCACCTGTTGCAAATAGACGAGAACAAATGTACACATCATAAGAACTGGGTTGTGTACTGTGTCTGTGTTTGAATCAAAGTTATTTGATTCTTGCCTTAGTTGGAAAAATCTAACTCAAAACTAACTAAAGTGCATCCTTCTAATTATTGAACTGATTTAAAGAGCATTTTGTTGGTTATCCTTAGGGGGAATGAAAAAAATGATATGGTGCCCCTTGAGGCGCTGGAGGTTAGTTTAGGCCAGGGGTGTCAAACATACGGCCCGCGGGCCGGATCCGGCCCGCAAAGGAGTTTAATCCGGCCCGCGAGATGATTATGTAAAGCATCTGTGTCAAACCTACGGCCCGCGGGCCGGAACCGGCCCGCAAGTAGGTTCAATCAGGCCCGCAGGATAATGTAAAAGTGAAAAAAATGCATTAAAGACACAGAATTAATATTTTTAATCAGGTGCAATTCATTGAGTATCCGCAAGGGGACACTGTTTTGATCAGAGAAGAAGACAACAGCAGCCTCAGTCTGTCACTGAGACAGACCCATGACAGCAGACGCTATCAATAGCACTCTCACATTTACACATTTAATAGCACTCTCCTTAGTTTGTAAGGTGTAGGCAGGGATTACATTTAGATTTTATATGCACGTGTAAATGCTTTAAAACTTGCTTTCTTTATGAATCTTGTTTAATCTTAAAGTGCATTACTATATTTTTCAAAACCAATTACTTGTTAAAGTTTGTACAATCAGTGGGATCAGTTGCAATGCATATATGTGAATGATAAAAGTAAATTGCACATTTGTCGAAGGAAATGTAAGGTGCTTCATGAAATGTTTTGTAAAAGATATGTTCATTAAATTTCAATATTTTCCTAATGTTCTTGTGCTTCTTTATACCAAAACAAAGGAAAGACATATTGTTTTGGTTATTTATAGCAAAGTATTGTATCATTTTAATGGTCCGGCCCACTTGACATCTACCGAGGCCGTATGTGGCCCACCATGTGAAATGAGTTTGACACCCCTGGTTTAGGCATTACACTCAAGTCACCTTCATTTAATTAAATTATGAATTCGCACGATTTACGCTACACATCCAACCAGCTGCTGTGGGAGGCTGTTCTGACATCCTGGAAACAAATTTAAACACAACCTGTCCAGTTCTATGGATGCAAGACTTGCAAAGATGCGATTAAGAGGTCCCATGTCAGGAATGGGCAGCTGGTGGCCCCCAAACACACTGAGTGTCCCTCTTAAATTATGAAAAAATATTGAGAAAAAAAAATAAAGACAGAAATCCGCAGCAATACGGCTGCTGACTTTGGAATATGCAGGGGTCGACTCACCACCAGATGGCACACAAACAATGTTAAAATGGTTGATTTTTGTGAAAAAATGTTCAAAATGAATTCTTATACTTTGTTTCTTGTCTTCATATTTTGCATTTACTGTATGCACATATTTTGTCCAAATTTAGAAGAGCATTTTTGTCATACATCTGGTTCGGAAGTGCTAGGACCTATGTATTCCTTGCTTATGATTTCTGCAAAAACAACCTCCTCATGCTGCGAGATCAACAAATGACCATTTTTTTATTCTTTACAAACTGTAAAATAAATAAATAAAAATAAAAAATGTATTGAAATGGTTTGACACACTACTGTGCAAAATAAGTTGGAACAATGCATTTTAACAAAAGCTGTTTTTCGTTTTGAAGGAAATGCTGTTATCATTGGGAGGTTTGTTTAAAAACATTCAAATTCTCGCACAGTTGATGACTTGAAAATTATAAGCACCATTTGCATAGACTTTAAAAATAAGAGAAAAGCATAATTTGCATAATAATTTGGAATGCGACGCAGAGCCCAGAAAGTCATGAATCAAATGACAATAATGAAAATAAATCTGTGGCTTTATCACTTGAACTTTTCCTGTTTCATGAAACAATGATATGGAAACATATGGACTGTACTTTAGAGGTGTGACGATTGATTGATAAAAGCTAACGAATGATCAAATTCAACTATAATTGTAATAATCAATTAATCTTTTAAGTGCCATATTTTCCGCACTTTAAGACGCTTCAGATTATAAGGTGCACCTTTAACAAATGGCCTATTTTAAAACTGTTTTCAGATCGCACCACATTATCTTGAAAGGCGCTTATAAATGAAATGTATTATTATTAATATTATTATTATGAGGCTCTTAGAATAGAAGCTACAGTAGGGTCTGCGGTTGTGTTATGCATCCACTAGATGGAGTTACGCTAAAGGGAATACAATACAATACAGCTTTATTTATGTAGAGCTTTCACAACCGCTGCAGCTGTAACAAAGCACTTTACAGAGCATTTAAAATACTGCCCAAGAAATCAGAACTTTGATTCATATATAACGTGCACTGTCGGCTTTTGAGAAAATTGAATGCTTTTAGGTGCACTTTGTAGTGCGGAAAATACAGCACCTTTTTTTTTTTCCATTTAGAATTGTCCCAATCCTCAGAATGTCAGCCTGACAACAGTCAATATTCAACATGAAAGCACACTGATTGTCTTTACTTTGAATCATAACAAGACATTTGCGATCATCTGCTTTTAATTTAGAAAAAAAATTATCAACATCTTTTTGCCTATTTTCTGGCATGCTATGGACCGAAGCAGTAACGGAATCATCATTGTGTATGTTCTGAACTGACAGTTTGAAAATCTGCCTTGTTCGTAAATAAAGGGATGGAAATCGAAACATGTTTTTTGCAACACGATTCATTGATTAATGGTCAAAATAATCGACAGATTAATCATGTATTTTAAAAATCAGTAGTTGCAGCCCTGCTGTACTTCTTAGGCACTGAACTTACCTAGACACCATTGATAAATTACTAAAACTCATCGGAACAATAAACAAATAAATAAATAAAGCCTTCCAAACAACCGATATGTAGCATTTTTTGCCCCCCAAATTGCAGCGGTTGCTATTTGAAACTTGCAAACTACGATGAAATTGCCATGCCGATTTGAATTTGATGAATTGTCGGTTGCTATTTGAAACTTACAAACTACAATGTAATTGCCATGCCGATTTGCATTTGATGAATTGTTCAGCCCCAGCACCTTCCCTATTGTTTGAAATTAATTAATCAACTACAAACACTTTGCTTTTTCGCGAAGGAAGAAAGCGGCTGTCCCTTATGGTTTGCATCTTTTCTTCATTCATTTCTTTCAGGTGCTCTCTCTTTGCCAACGTTGCCTGTAAGGCTTTGCCATGAGAATGTCTGATCAAGTAGACTCTGAAACAACGAAGGTGCCCGAGCCTGCCGCTGCTGAGGCATTTCCAAAAGAAAATGCCACCCAGTCTGAAGTATCTGATGAGGGTGGCAAAGAAAACTCTGGCAGCATTACAACAGCAGAAGCCAAGGTAAATGAGGCCATGAGGTGTCGTGGTTGCTTTCCACTAATAGCCCTTCTTCTGCATTCTCTTAATAACGGAACATGATAGTAGGTGTCCTCAACCAATGTCTAAAACGCGAAATCAGTAAGTTTTGGACAGGTCAGCATCCTAGCAAAATGAGTGGACTGAGTGCATTTCATATGTAACATTTTCCCACATTTCTCTGCACGTGACTCCATGAAAAATCTGTCACAGTCGGTGTCAAACACAAACTGCCTACGGCAGGGGTCCCCAACCGCCGGTCCGCGGACCATTTGGTACCGGGCCGCACAGAAAGAACTTGCCTTATTTCCGTTTTATTTATTTCGGAATACGAAAGATGTTTTATTTTGAAAAATTACCGGATTCTCTGTTACATCCGTCTGTGTCACGCTTGACTCACGTCAAGCCACACTTCTCGGTCACGTGACCGATGACGCTCATAAACAAAATGCTGAAGCCCGCAAAATGAGTAAAAAAGCTGCTTGGAGATCGCAAATGACGGCGGCCTTTAAAGTACGTTCGAAACAACTGGATCAAAGTTATGGCTGAATACTCTGAGATCGCCACAATAGCACTGTTGCTATTTCCGACATCCTACCTGTGTGAGGTGGGGAGTTTCTGCAGCAACAGCGACTAAAACAAAATTACGAAGTAGACTGGACATAAACCACACACTTGAGGTGTCATTGTCTCCTATTACCCCAAGATGGGACTGTCTGATTGCAGAAAATCAAGCTCGGGGCTGTGGTGAGTCGTCATTTTCATGCACTTTGAATTTGCGTTGTATCGTATTTTGAAGGCATTAAACATTACTGGAGCGATAAGAGTGTTGCGACCAGATTAGACGCTCCTTGTGTTTATTATTATATTTCGAAAACATCACAGTTTTCATGCAGATCATACCATATTATTTTGTTGTATTAATCCGCCACACCTTAAATGCCGGTCCCTGAAAATATTGTCTGACATAAACCGGTCCGTGGGGCAAAAAAGGTTGGGGACCCCTGGCCTACGGGATATACTGGTACCTGCGGCATTCGGATGATTCTCCCAAGTTGGTTTTTCAAGTCACAAAACACAGTACATTCTGATATGCTGTCATTAGTCCCGACTGGAATAATAACACATGCCTTTGTGCTTATCACAGTGAACATCTAAAGCATAGCTCGTTAAGTTCTGAAGATTTTAGAATTGGGGCGGCAATCTTGCTGCCTCCCCATTTTGATACGTAGGGCTATAATTAAGTTCAATTAATTATCAGTGCAGGCTAAATTTCTATAAATATCTTTTCTTCCACCTTGACAGTTTAAAACTGTTTGGAACAGTATTTGTAATGCCCCGGATTTCTGTGACTTAAATAAATTCCACATACATTTAATTCCGCTTTTAGAAAAAAAATTAAGGTGTGCGAATTAGTATTTCTCGTCATGACAAAATGAAATTGGTTCTTGTTCTTTTCACACATCACTTGCATCAACAAACAAGTGATCGATTGCATTTCATTCATTCCCTGTCTGCATTTTGCAGAAAGTTGAGTTCCCTCCTCTGTGGTGTGGCACCACTGACATTGCGCTGTAAATGAGAAAGTGTTCTCAGTTGCATTATCGACAACTGTTAAACAAAGGCCATTATTATTGTGATTATATGTGAGGTCATATTGTTCCTTAGAGCCACAGACAGAACAAACATGAGATAACTGTTATATTTCCCAGTTGAGCGAGTTTGGATTTTGCATCACATGATTTAGTTGACTGACTTGAATACAGTGCGTCTGGAATTCATTGTGCTCATAAGAGGAGCTGCGTCCATCTCAGGCTGTGCGCCAAGACAAACATGAGTGACTAGCGTGACGTACCAGTATGCGTTCTGTTGTCCACATTTTATACGAGTTAGAGTTAGTCATCCACATAATGTGGCTTAAGTCAGTGCAGTGGTTCACACTCCTGGATCTTTTCATCATATCATGAGTACGCCCTCACTCATACTGTACATGTTGACGATTCCCCAAAAGAGCGTAATCCAACTGTTAATCAATTGAAAATCACTTCAATTCGTCTCTTAACATTGAACATTTAATTTTCAGGCAGTCTTCTTTTTCACTCAAATCAAGCATAAACATAAATGTTGCCTTTAAAATAAATAAACAAAATAAAACTCAAAACCAGCCTTTGTTCTAGATTGCTCTTATAACTTTTTCCACAAAAAAAAAAAAAAAAAAATGGAGATCCTAGGTCCCTTTGAAACAGGGATTGAAACTTTAATATCAGGAGCAAAACACCGAACACGAATAATATTTTTGATTCTCTTCATCAGTCATGTGAGCTTTGAGACACTTGAGCTGATACGCGGATGTTGTGATTTTGCCGCGGCTTCGTCACAGCAGGTTATTGTCTTCCCGGGGAAACAAGTTGTAGCACACAAATGCCTTTTTTTTTTTTGATGTGCTTATGAAATGGCTGAGTGTATTTAATTATTATCTTGGAGAGAGAGAGAGAGAGAGAGAGAGGGAGAGAGAGAGAGAGAGAAGCACTGTGTGACTTTGCCACCATCTGCCTCCAGCTCTGCAGCTTCATCCTCTGCTGGTGGCCGCCCTACTTTTGCTGACTTCAGCCCTTTCCTACTTCCCCATTTCCATTCCTTTATCTCCTGCTGGCATTGTTCATTCCCCACCGGCCCCATGCCGCTCAATTAGTTGGTGTAGTGGTGCACTCGCAGTCCCAGCCCTCTCCAGCCTTACCCACCAGCCCTCCCTTTCCATATTACCTGATATAGAAAGGGATGCTGTAGGTCACAGGCAGCGTCCCATTTCAATTTTTATGCAACTTTAAGCCCTCAAGCTCACGGGGGGGGTGTCCTCTTGATTGTTAGAGGACAGACCAGAAGCACAGATTCATGTTGGCATTAGCAGGCACAGTACAGTGTCCTGGTACAATTTATACTGGAACAGCTCCTGCTAGGTCACCTCCTACCTTCCTCACCTTGTCCCCTTAGTGCATGCTTCAATGAGACTGTGTAACATTTAAACAGAGAGGAACCCAACCTTTGCTTCTACTATTGGGTGCCCTGTCTCCCTCCAAGAGTCTGATTCATATGATGGCAAAATGGAGCTCAAAGCAAAGTGTAGAACTCACCCAAGTTGCTTATGGCCTTAAGTCTGGCTTTTCTCCATTGTCTGTCTTTGAGGCAGTGTCCCTTCACTGCCAACTGCACATTGTCTCTGTCCAATGACCACTCTTTGTCATACACTATGCATAAAACACATTATATTTGCACTGAAAATGGTTTGCACTGTCTTTTCACAACCATTGCAATGTTTTGTATGTGTGGGTTTATTTTTTTAAATGAATTGTCAGAGGGAAGTGATTGAACACAGGCAATTTCATTTAAAGTCACAAATGCCATAAAACAATCTTGACACGGTTGTTGTCAGACAGTGACAAATATACAGTAAATATTCTCTCGTGCGGACTCGTGTTTGCGTTGTCCAATTTGTCCTGATAACAGAAATTCCTCATTTGGGAAATGAGCATGGTACATGTCCTTTATGAACCTGCAAGTATGTTGACAAAATGCACGTGTAACAACACAATCAATAAATTACAAAAATATACTGTCCAAAAACTGTTTATATAACAAAACCTGCAATACAGGTGTATCCAAAAAAAATCACAACAGTAAAATACATACAGTATTTTAATGTTTATTTTTTTTCTGTCTTGGGAAAAAAATGTGTCTCTTTTGGATTGTTTTGTTGGATGCATTCTTTGGTTTATGACAATGTTTGCCTGCGTGTCATACAGTTTTCTTGCTAGTTGCAAGTAACTGTCCCGTTGATCACCGATGTCTGGTAATTCTTGTGCATACTGATGGATTTGTTGCCATTTGCATTGCTTCCTCGCTGGATGGTGGCTTGTCATCAGGAGTTGAATCGATGCCTTGTTTTTTAAAGTTTCGTAGATTTGCGTCTTTCCGACTCCAAGTGTCTGCTGGATGCTTTTAACTTTGTGTCCAGCCTTGCTCAAACGGATGCATTTCACTCGCTCCGCTCCAGTCATTACAGTTCTTCTACGTTTCGATGCCATGATCTACACGACGTAATTGTATAAAGTTAAAATCTTTCGCAATTGCAGTAAAACGCACGCCAATAAAAAGTCACTTACACGTCTTCGTTTCGAATCTGATGATCAAAAAACGCGAAGTGAAAATGTGTCTCAGTGTCGTCGCTCCGTAGCATCGGGTGGGCGTTGCGTGTATTTAAGCTCCCGCGGCATGACGTCTCAATCCGGGTTACGGGTAGTGGAATTTCCGCTTACGTAAGTTCCGGTAACATGTAATATCGTAGTCAAAATGTTAATGCACAGGTTTTTGTTCCGGGTGAAGGAAATTCCTTTTCATAGAATTCCGGGGATGGGAATATTTACTGTACACTGCAAAAAATGAATTCAGGTTCCAAATAAATTGTGAATGTTTAACTGGAAATTATTGTCTTTTTTGCCACTTGAGATCAGTGCTCTTAAGTTTTGAATATGCAAGGTTATCACTTCTTTTTTCTGTGGACTTCTTGTTGCGTCACAGACGCACCAAAGGTTGGCCAGTCCTGTTTAATTTAAAATGTCATTTTAAAGGCAACACCCCTCTTTATTCCCAAATTTTAGCAGGTTTTTTTTTTGGTGGGGGGGGGGATTTTAACTATGTACTTTCTTCCACATACCTCCCTCCAACCAAACATCTCCTTTTACATGCAGCCTGTGAAGTACTTGAAGGTATGAACCACTTCCCTCGCATGTTTTGAAATTAAGCATGTGAATTGTTTACTTTGAAGCTGCGCCTGTGTTTACTGTCAGGAATATTGTCAAATCGCAGGTGACTTGTTTGCAATTTGTGTGGAGAGGCCTCAATATGCACACATCACAGGCTGTGGTGGTTTGTTTGCTACTTTGCTGTTACACCCCTCTAGGGACATTTAATAGAAGCATCAGTCTATGGAATGATGGCTTCAGTTTTGATCTAATTATCTTGTAAATTTTGGCACCAAAACCTTAAGTCACTTGAAGCCCTGACCCGCAAAAAAAAAAAAAAAAAAGTCTGTCAGCAGGGAAAAAGACAAGTTTTTCTTGCAACCTGTTTTTCTTCTGGTGGCTTGTGGGTGTTAGTGGCTGCGATTTATTTGCATTTATGGTTTTAACTTTCTGCTCCTGCACCCCCCTCGACAGCATAAGACCAGGCTAAAGCTTGTTCGGAGCCTGGCAATATGTGAGGAGTCCTTCCCTTACCCAATTCTTGAGCCTTCAGCTGCACCTCAGGTAAAAACCTCCCTGAGCGTATCTATTCCCTCTTTGAATCCATTTGTCATCCCATCAGCTGGACACACGTGGACTCATGCACGTGACCTGATACTTTGCGCCCCAAGTCACACATATAGTAGCTCTGCTTGAAGTGCTGACCAGGGGTGAGTTCTTCATTTCCCCTTATTAAAATTGAGATGGAGGACCTCCGGCGAACTATTAGCAGCCTTCCTCTGACAGATGTGATGGAAAACCTGTCCGGTACAGCCTGGTTAAAGAATCACATCATCAAAACACAAACGGCGAGCTTGATGTTAAATTGTCAATTCAATTATTTTACTGCATCCAGGCAAAGACTCCCCTGCCCACACCTCCAGATCAGAGTTAAACTCCACTAAATGCCACTCTGCACTGCTAATGATATATTTATGCACCTACACACACACACACACACACACACACACACACACACACACACACACACATATATACACACAGGTGTGTTCGTCCTATGATTTAGCCAGTCAGCACCGTGCCCCATAACCAGAGGGCAATGTTATTCCCACTGCGCTCTCTCATTGCCTGCACTCCCACGACGTCTTGTATTACTGCCATCAATCATGTTGAGGAAATTGCAATTTCCGCACATCACCTACCGAGTGCTATGTAGTGCCCTAATTGAATACTCCTGATATTTCCCCCGCCGCAGTTATTGGTGGGGGTGCCTCTGAGCAGGGCTGTTTTTGGCAAGCTACCCTGGAGGGGAGCGCTGGTGCAATAGGGAATGAAGCAAAATATTAGTTAGGCGGAGCCATAAAATTGTAGTTTAATGAAAAGTAACCAGTGAAAATGAGTCACTGGTTTTAAGTTGTGGTTCAACAGAATTATTTCATAAAACAAGCTCAGGAAAAAGTGCTGCACAAAAATGATGGTACCCCTAGATAAGATTGAAAATAATTTGAACATTCTGATCTGTTTAACCAACTTCTGTCCTTTAATTAGCACTGCAGGTGTCTTCAAATTTGTAATCAGTGAATCTATTTTCAGGGTGACTCGTTGTCAATGTGCTCTTTGATGACATGATGTGTAACACATTTAACATGGACCAGAGGAAGTGAAGGAGAGAATTGTCTCAGGAAATTAGAAAGAAAATTAGAGACAAGCACGTTAAAGTTAAAGATTGTTGGACCATCTCCAAGTAGCTTGATGTTGCTGTAACTATAGTCGCACTTATTCAGAAATTTAAGATCCACGGGACTGTAGCCGTCCTCCCTTGACGTGGCCCCTGGATGAAAATTGATGACAAACTTAGGAGCAGCACAATACAAAATGTAATAAGAGCCGAACAACCTCCAAACAAATTAAAGGTGAACTCCAAGGTCAAGATACATCAGTGTCAGATTACACCAAAGTGGACGTCATAGGAGACAACCAAGATGGATTCCATTGTTGAAAATAATTCATAAAAAAAAGGGAGATCAGAAAATGTCAAACTGCATGTTGACAACCTACACAGCATGTTCACAGACGCAAAGATGAAGCAAACCGAGGGGATTAAAAAAAAAAAAAAGTACCTACTGTGTTACATGGAGGGGGCTCTGTTATGTTTTGCGGCTGCTTTGCTTCATCTAGCACTGGATGTCTTCAACCTCTGCAGGGTATATAGAAATCTCTAGACTATCAAGGTTTCCGAAAGAGAAATTTGTGCTGCCCAGTGTCGGGAAGCTTAGTTTCAGTCGTAGTTCATGGGTTTTGCAATGGGATAAATGACCCAAGAATAGCTAAGAGCGAAGATTTGGACTATTCTGAAGCGGGTCTATTTATGAGACCTGATCTAAATGCTATTGAACATCTGTGGAAAGAGCTGAAACATGCCGGCTGGAGAAAGCGCCCTACAAACTTGAGACAACTGCAGCAGTTTGCTCATGAAGAGTGGTCCAAAATACCTGCTGAGAGGTGCAGAAGTCTCATTGAAACTTTGAAAAATTGTTTGATTGCATCAAAAGGTTATCTGACAAAACGTTATTTTATTTTTTTAGTTATTCATGTTGAACTACAATTCCAAAGCAATATCAGATTTTCATTGATACATTTTTGTGTGGGGTTTTTTTCTGTCGAGTTTTCTTTCATTAGCAGAGGGGTCGCAATTTTGTCCATGTGTGTAGCAATGCAGATTTTTACAGCTTATCCCAAAACAACATTGCTTTGGGATATGCAGTCATTTTGTGCACCCTTGTCAACTCAAAGGCAACATGGGAAATTGTTAGATTATTTTGAAACACAGTTTTTGAACTAGTACTAACTTGGATGGAAAACTTAAATGCTGGAGGGGGCTACAATATTTCACCAGTGTGGCTTGGGGGGTCTACATTGGACCACACACTTCCTAACCACATGTATGACAAGGCTGCTATTATACAGTAAATATGGACAAAATACAACCATACATGCAAAATCTGTGCTCTTAATATATTTAATTTTCATCAAATATTTTTCAATGCATGTATAAAAGATCCACTATTCTAAAGGGTTTAAAACAACAAGATGGCATACTGTCATTTTTTTTTGTTCCAGTGCAAAGGGCTCTCTTACATGAAAACTAACATTCAAGGACTGCACAAAATTGCTGAACAAGAAAGAACTCATTTTGTACATTTCCTCACAAAAATAAACTCACTCAAAATGTTAATATTATTTAGATACCATCTTTTTCCCGCGTGTCATTTCTAATCAGCCCCCCCAAAATATTATGAGGCCTACTCACATTGTAATATAGGGCAGTATACAGTAAGCACAGCTAAGACGTCTGCAATTTAGCAGTGAACGGTGAAATCACAACTTAAAACAACACGCGACTCTTGCATTGTTCCACACCCGGAGATTGGCGTATTCGAGGAATATTTTTTCTTTTCTTTTTCCCCAATACTTTGCTTAGTTTGTATTTTTTTGCTCCGAGTTTTCCAGAATTGTCCCCACTAAAATTATTTATTTTGGGGGAAAGTGAATCAACGGGCCCCTTGGTGTGATGTGGGCTGCCAGTTGCCCATTCCTGAATTAGGCTGTGGTATTATTGCGGTTTGTGGTTTAGCAGGATTATATTAAAACTGCTCAACCGGTTTCCACTGTTTGTGGAGAGATGAGCCAAGGACAAACCTAATAAAGCTTGGTGCAGATCCAGATCCGGAGTCTTGTTGACAAAATTCCCACACATACAAAATGAGGTCACCTGCATAATGAAGGTACTGTAGACGAGTTGGTGCTGAGCCAAATTGGAATTGGTGCTTTTCTGAGCTCCACTCTGTGATTCTTTCAATGTCTGAATAAGGTATTGATTATCTGCTTTCAATTGGCCTATTAATTCAACTTTAAGCGCTGTAACTTCGATTACATCCCTGGCGCAAAAACTATAGCTCATGATGATTCAATTGACCATTGTTAGTATTAGACATCACTGTCACTACCTCGCCGTCAAACTGTAAGTGCTAACAAAAGGCTGTATAGATCCATAGGCTGTCCAAATCTGAAAAGAAAAAAAAAACATCTGTCCTTACAAGGATGCCTGGCTGTCAATTCAAATCAATGTCTGATAGTCAAGGGCCTTTGAATGCACACTGTACTTTTTGTTTTAGATTGACAGCATGTTCGTTACACATTCAGAAGGCCATCATTTTCCTGCTGTTTTCCCTTTTTTTCTCAAAGTAAATGGCTGTCAAAAAACAAATGAGGCAATTCACAACAGCTGCACATCAACCAGGCTTGTTCCATGTCATACAGAGGGCAACATTAGTAGCAACCGCCACTGCTTCTTGACAGGTTTTTTTTTTGTTGTTGTTGTTTATTATCATTGTTACTTTGACAGGGACAGACAAGAACATGCTGTCGCTTAAGCCACACTCAAACACTGACTTATCGTCACTCTCTGAGGATTCCACTTGGGCAATTTGTCTGAAGCAGCACTCATTAATTAGCTCTTTACATTTTTTAAATATTGATACCACCTCAGATCGAAGCATTCAGGCAACAGTTCACCTCATTTATCATCAGTTTGAGGGATCAATTACTTGACCCTTTGTATTGTTTATTGGCTGCCCCCATACTCCCTCACCCTCCTCTCACTCTCATTTCAAAACCAAATAGCACATCAATTGGTGGTGCAAGCCTTTTATGTCATTTAGAATTGCCTGTAAAGCAAATCAGATTCTGCTGTTACTTCTCTTACTCTACGGGTCTGTGGCAAATGAGAGCACTGCTTCCGTCAACCAAGGCTGCCTTTTATTCATTCTCACAAAGGAAGGAGAAAAAGAAAAAAAAAAAGACCCACCACAGGCTTGCAGTGAGATTGCAGCAGTTGGCGCGTTACAACTTTTACTGCTAGAAAGGAATTACTGCTAACTCTTCCCACTCTTGAATTTTAAGTAATGAAATGTGTTGTGTTGTTTAATTTGGGGACTGAATTCATGTATTATTCAGATAGTTTCATAAAAACAGGCTAATCTGGATGATTAATTGCTATCGTCATTGAAATTCATGGATGCAGGCGCATCATTACCAATAAGGAGACAGGTTTGGGTGGTAAACCATGAGGCTTTTTGAAGTGTATTCAACATTTGCCTGTTTAGGGCATGATACCCTTCTTGTGGTTAGATTAAAGGAACATTGAAAGCTTCATTTATCTTCCAAAATTAGTATTATGCCTGCTTGATATTGACCCTCCTCCCAAAATGTCAACAATAAGCTCTGTCAGGCTTGTTTGTGTTCTTTTTGAAATGCAATGGCGAAATGAAGACCAGGTTAATCATTCCTTTTTTTTTTTTTTTAAATCGGGTGTTTTTTTTTTTTTTTTTCCTCCTTCACTTAAGGATGAATTCCTCCTTCGGATGTTTGAAAAGGATGACGGAGCCACACAAAACCAGGCTCAGAAAGAAGTCATCTGCGACAAGGTGAACAAAGCTGACAAAATGCTGTGCAGAGGTGAGAAAATAGAAACAGCCTCCAATGAGGGCTTTGCATGGTGTACGTTTTTCTCAGAATCATTTCATGACTAACACCCTTTATATTTTCTTCTTTTGTGTATGTGTGGAGAGGCCAAAGTATCCTCCCATTTGTCCAAAAGTGCTCCTCCAGTTTCAATTATATTGTGTGATATGCAGATAATTAGTGTGATTCAGTTAATTGCGATGGGCTGAAAAGTGTCAAGCAATTATACGGATTCCCACAAGGCTGTAGTTGCCCCCCTCTTTGGAGGAATACCGCTGATGAGGCAAGGCCCCAATTATAGGTCCCAGACCCTTTCTCGGTCACCACTACCCTATTGTTTGCTGAGAGAGAATGTTTACTCTTTTGAACCCTGGCTGAGATAGCTGCACAATTGAAGTTCGCTTTAAACAAAGTCATATGGAAAACAACATTGAGTTCCCTGTTTTTGTATTTTTTAGTTCAGTATGTTCGGCTTTCACAAATAAAGCTCGTGTGACCTATTTTTTTCTTTGATCAGATTCCAGTCAAGACTACACGGATTCAACAGGCATAGATCTTCATCAGTTTTTAGTAAACACGCTAAAGAGCAATCCCAGGTAAATTACACATTCGAGTACAGTTTGGTGGTGATGAGTCAGTGTCGTCTTTTGGGCAGGTAAACAAAATTTCAGAGATTTCTTTCTGAGGTCAAACTCTCTCAAATACTTTGTATTATTTTTTGAGGGACCGAATTATGCTGCTGAAGCTTGAGCAAGACATCTTGGATTTCATCAGCAATAATGAGTAAGTTCCGTTTCTGGTTACATTCAATCTCATCCTTCTCGAGTCTTTGGGGTTACCTTTGGAGTGCTACAGCACAGAAGGATATTTTCACTGTTTGATCCCTGATGTGCGTGCTTTCCACATCAGGAGGAGCAACGTGGGGTTTTTTGTGTGTATTCTCTAGAATTTATAGAACTGTTCTTTTACAGCATTTTGGGAGTAGTGCAGCTATGCTCTGACCAGTACATCCCTGATCGGATACCTATTTTTTTCCTCAATTGCTATCAGAGATGAGCTCATGCCCACTTAGGACCCCTCCCCCGCTGTGTCTTTTTAGAAGTCAAAAGAGAACGTTCCCGCCTATGACGTCCTACCACCGGATGTTGTTACACCGTGTGGCTGCCTACTTCGGCATGGACCACAACGTGGACCTCACTGGAAAGTCAGTTGTCATCAACAAAACTACCAGCACAAGAATGTGAGCATCTTTTTGCAGATTGACACATGTGTCACAACTACCCGGGACTTTTCTTTGCCCTCCTCATGTTGATTAACATATGTTGTTGTCAGCATCTACCTGAAATGAAGTTCACCCCCTTAACTGTTAAAAATTCCCTACTGACAGCCCCGATCAGAAATTCTCAGAGCACATCAAGGATGACAAGGCAGACGATTTCCAGAAACGCTACATTCTTAAACGAGACAACTCCAGCTTTGATCGCGATGACAGCACGGTAGGTGTCCCCACCCTGCTGCCACCACCAAGCTGTCACTTTTATTTCTGACATGTCGGTACGAGGGGGACAATCTGGCATCCCTGGTATAGCTGTTAAAAAGCCATGTGTGTGTGTGCGTGTGTGGGCGTGCATGTGTGTGGGTGTGCGTATGTGCGTGTGCTGTGTCCTTGCCAGATTCGGATGCGTTTGAAAGCAGACAAGAAAAGCAAATCGATGGAAGAGCGCGAGGAGGAGTACCAGCGAGCCAGAGAAAGAATATTTGCACATGATGTGAGCTCTCCTTGTGTGGGCGGGATGGGGGATGGGGGCTATGCTGCACAAGTCTACGCACAAATCCTTTGTTGTGCAAATTCACGCAATTTTTGCCAGCAATTACGGATGGCAGTATGTAGAGATGTGAACGCTCCGATAATGGAGTTGATTTGATATCGATGAAAGATCTGCAACCAATGATACTACATGTAAATACAAAACATTTATTAAGATATGAACAAGCTGATTAATACAATTGAGTAAATCACACTCTTTTTATACTTCAAATCATCCAATTTAATTTTCACTCACAGGGCGATCACTTCATACTGGATCAAAGGTAAGTTGCACATTATGCGGATTGGCATCATAACCAATGTTTTTCTGAGTCTCACCAGAGTCATTTTCACAGTCAGTGCATCCTTTAAGATGTAAATGCAACTCAACTCAACTCAACTGTATTTATAGAGCACTTTCAAACAGCCATCGCTGCATACAAAGTGCTGTACATGGCAGCTCATCTATAACGTGCATGGCATCCATTTCTATTTTGGAGAATGCTAAATTGCCCTTTTTCTGCCAGAACAGTGATTGATGCCTTGATTGGTGCTGATCATTTGTCGCTTTTCTGCTACTAATACCTCCCACCAACATCCCTCTCAGTGCTCAGGATGAAGACGCATGTACACGTACCCAGCACAGGCGGCTAATTTTCAGGTGAGGCAAAAAATCCTGCTGTCATTTTGCACCAGTGCAAGAGTGTTGACCTAAAGATTTGTTCTTGCTGCTCGGAAGGCTTCCCTCTAATATGCTTTTTAGTACTAGATTACGTAAAGCATCCGGCCTGGACCAAGTCATGGCCAATGAGATCATGAAACCATGTCATTTCGCCTTTCATTCAGTTTATGAAGCTAAAGTGATTCATTAATGTTAGTCACGAGGGAGAATTAATCCAGGAAATTCAAGGTCATATAGAGTAACTTTCATTCAATTTAGATCCAAAATTGAAGAAAAAACAATCTCTGGGCACTATTGTCATGGAATAGACCTGGAAACGAGCAAGCACAAGACAAACAAGGCAACCTTAAGTAAAACTTGTATGGTGGGTTGTCCATCTTTTTTGAACATAATTGTAAAGTCTCGATCCAAAGGTTCTTTAACATTAAGCCTAGGAGATTTGAAAGCCTACATAATTAAATGTGAGCACAGGATTCTTGATGCTGACTGAAAGACTGACTTTAACCCTGACCAGGTCACGGGCTGGACCCTCAGACGCCAGCTGGCAGAGCAGCTCTGAGACAGAGACGCAGCCACCAAACGGTGAGCCGCGACCCTGGAGCAGTACTGACAGCTCGGACAGCTCCAACCGCCTCGTCCTGCGGCCTGCCATCACCAAGGCCAGCAGCTTCAGCGGCATCTCCCCTGACCTGGCACGTGGCGACAGCACCGCCAGCAGTAAGAGCACCGGGAGGCTTACCAAAACAGGCAAGAGTGAAGTCACACAAGCCATTGTTGTTCATACAATAACCTAACAAATGGCTTCAATCTCTGAAGAAAAAAAACGCTCGTTCTCTCTCTCTTTCTCTCTCTCGTTCTCTCTCTCTCTATCTCTCTCTCTCAATCGCTCTCTCACATACATACATACGCACACAATTAAAAAAAAAAATATATATATATATATATATATACACACACACACACACACACACACACACACACACACACACACATATACGGACATACATACATACACGCACACACAGTAGGCGGGGGGAATACTGGTTGCCAGCCAATCACTGGGCACACAGACAAATATAGATAGATGCATACATAAATACAATTAATAAGAATAATTGCTATCAGTATTGCTTCACTGATGAGCAAGAGAAAACTGAACGTCAGTGAACATGAGATAAATTGAGAAATGATTATTAGCAGTATCTTGTACTTCAAGGATACGTCTGAATCAGTCTGATCTTCCCCTGAATGTGACAGTTGCCCTGCCTTTATCAAAGTCTGTAGGGCTCCCATATTGCTGGACAATTGTCAAAGCCATAAAGTATATCAAACTCGAGAATTAAAAAGACTTCCTGAATAGTGTAGTTCAACAATTTAGAACCACTGGAAAGTTCCTAAACTGGTGATGCTTCCTTCATTGACATGATGGGAATCCTCCTAAGTATCTTCCCACTCCTACAATTTCCCATGTTATATCGTGTCTTATTTTCTTCCTTACAGGGTAGAACGTTGTTTATTGAGGAAGTATTTTGTCCTTAGGAGTCAGTCAAGCAGACATCTCATTTGCACTGCCTCTTTTCTGCCCTGAAACAACTGTCCTATGCAACAATACGCATGCAATCTCACCTAAAAATAGGTAGGCTACTCATGAAAGATGAAGGTGACGTTCTATCAAGAGAAATTAATGAACCTTTTCCTTCAAACCAATTCCCGCCTCGTAAATAATATCCTTCCCTGCTTTGAAGATGCATAAATGATGTCTTCACATACAGTGGTTGAAAGGTTAAGGTCAAGGTCATGTTTATTGTCAAATATGCTTTATGTATAACATGCAGCATAACAGAAAAGACACTTGCACTCAACTTCCAAATGTTTGCAACAGTGAGGCAAATTTGATGGATCAGTCAATGGATATGATGCACAACTTCAGTTTTGTTTGAATACACCCATTATTTTTTGTAATCCAATGGTCCAATGGTTCACACTAAATTGTAGTGGACTACAATTTAGTGTGTTTTATTGCCCAAGTGTGTCCTATTAAAATGATGGTGTTGAACCATTGTTTTATTGCCCAAGTGTGTCCTATTAAAATGATGATTCAATCAGTAAACAGCGCTGAGTGTCAATTTCAGACGTGTTTCTGTTTTTTCTGTAAAGATGACATTTCAAGTAGCTGTTGATATAACCAAGATTTAAAATAAAATAAAAAAAAAAAAGCTGTCAATGCATGAAAAACAAGCGATTGAGAAAATTGACAACTCAGCATGGTTTCTTCTTGAGATGGTCATTCTTATCTTCAGTGCTGAACTACATGATGGCAATAGCAAATTAAACTCAATTTAACACATTTTATCTGCCAGTTTAAAGGAAGCCACAACAAAGCTGATTTGGAGAGCTTCATTATGCAGCAAGGTCAGGACCCAAAACAGCAAAGATGTCCATCGGCATCAAGAAATGGCCGATGCAAGACTGGCTAACTCAATATCCAGGCCCTTATAGAGCATGCATTTTACCTGCTAACGGGCATGCTAAAGAGAGTAACCTCTCAAAAGACAACTCCCAAGAGTCTCATTCACAGATCTATTTTAATTAATTCTCTTCAATTGATCATTCCATTGAATAATCAGATAATAATGTATTTAGCATTACAGTTTATTACAAAATACTTTATTTTCGATTTCTGTTTACGGATCAGTTATTTATTTTATGTTATTGTTGTTTACATATTTATTGTATTTAATATTTATTTGATCTTATTTAATAATTAAATAAAATCAAATAAACTGCCAGTAATCAGCAATTGCACGAGATGGAGTAATATTGTCTTTTTGAAACTCAGCTACTTCTTTGGTACTGATCCATGCTAAACAACTAGTTTGATGTATGCAAATACTTCTGAGGAGCTTCAAGTACAACTGCATGTCAATTACAGGTAGTTCAAACTACAGCGAAAAAAATAGCCTATTTTCGTAATAGATTAAACAGTTGTTTTTGTTTATACATTAATTCTTAATGTTTCAGTTTGGTGAGGTCCATATCATGTTGGGAAGGCGGAAAAAATGCTCATCATTGTTTTCCAAAGTAAAACCAGATGTTTAAAAATTTATTTTCATTTTGATTGAATACAAAATATAATTAAGTGTGCTTTCATGAAGGACAGCGGAAATGCGAGAATAGTTACTTTTGATGGGCTGATATCAGAATTTAGATTACTTTAAGTTAAACAAGGTCTCTAAACGATTAATCTATCAAAATAGTATATTTTAATCGTCAATTAATTTGTTGTTGATCAGATGAAGATGGAAATACTGATACAATATTTTGAGGGTCAGATGCAAATGTTAACATCTACATCTCAGACTGCTTTCAACAACAAAGCGTATGAGGGAAAAGTGGTTAGGATTGCACGACTGTCCGTGTTTTATGGTATGTGTTGTTTATTTTTTTACTTTGTGTTAACTGTTTTGTTAAGCGCTTTGTTACAGCTGCAGCTGTTGTGAAAGCGATATATAAATCAGGATGTATTGTATTGTACAGCTAAAATGGAAGCAATAGCCTCATTGTTCAGGTCCAGTAGTGGGCATGTCAGTCATCATTCCGTCATTATTTCAGGCTGGCTCAGTCCGTCGACGTCGACAACAGCCAATCGGCGACAAGAACATACTTACCAGGTCACAACCATGGGGGGGGGTCATCGATGTGATGATTGGCGAAATAAAAACAATGTGGGACAATGTCATTGCGATCTGTGGCACTGGAAGTTTGGCAACGCTATTTTGGGTTACTATTTAATTCCGGTTTGCTTGTGCTGTGCCTGCATGTGACGTAGTATGTTCTCAACGCCGATGGGCTGTCACCAACGATGGATGGATGGATGGGGCCAGCCTGAAATAATGACGGAATGACGGCTGACGGACTGACACGCCCACCACCGGTTGTTTCCCCAGTTGAAAGATGCAAAATTATACACAGATCAAAAACGCAAGCAAGTGCCTTTTCCACCTCCGTGAAAACCAATGGCTGTTTTCAAGATGCCTTTTTTCTATTCTGCTCAGCATTTTATAATCACACAGGGACAAATCAACCACAGATGGTGCCGCCCTACCAATTCCTTCCTCAGCGCTTCCTTCAGGAGTTCATGCAACCGCCACCATGTTATTAGGCTGTGGATTGGCTCCGCTGCTTAATTATCACCACCTACACCCCCATCGATAGTAAATTCTCATGTCATGCTGTTGCTTGGTAGCTAAAGAAGATGGATTGGGCATCTTTTAAGATTGTGTTTCACCCTTTGTTTGGTCATTCCAGGTTCAGAATCATGCAGTAGCTTCGGTTCTTCATCCAGTTCGCTCTCTCGTCCACACTGTCCTTTCACCGTGTCAGTGTCTTTACGGCCCAAAATCCCTGGAACGCCTTGTATCCACCCAGCTGCAGACACCGAAGGCTCAGCACTCCCTGACAAGAGTGTCCCGTCACAGCCAACGCCTTCTGCTGATGCAACAAATTATGCGATGTCACTCGAGGCTTCAGGGATACCACCTGGCAGCTTTCTGGTGAATCCACACACAGGTAGTGTGCTCATTTCATGTACAGTATGTTGTGGTTAAAAATTGAAGTTTGCATTGTTCTGATGCTGCTAAATTCTATCGAACTTTTTGCTTTGGTCAGTATTCCTTAAGGGCAGAATTACAGCTCAGCGTGTAATACACACAGTTGCTTTGAGGGCTACAGCTAATGATTATTTTAAAATAATCGCTCAATTATTGTTTCAATTAATCGATGCATCAGGTTTAAAAAAATAAAAGATTCCATCTATTTGTCATAATATGCACAAAATATGGCAAACAGGTTACTTTATGAACATTCAAAGCTCTAATTTATTTACATGTACTAGTAGTGAGACGGTTAACCTGCACAATACCAGACTTCAGGGTATAAATGCTGTACATTGTACAAACGTACACACTAAACAAGCCGATCTTAGCCACCGCTGTTACATCGCTAGAATGACTACTCCATGATGCAGTGTTGTGAAACCGTAAATGTTACCAGTTTGATGTTGTTTTGACATTTACAATCAATTAAACATTAAACAGAGGTGCCCCAACCCGTCTTTGATTTCATGTCAGTTTTCTTCCATGTCTTCTGCATCCAACCCTGCTCTCGTTACTTTGTTTTTTCATGAAGACTTTTACTTTTCAACTTTAGTGTTGCCTGCTTCTGGATCCGAATTATGCTCCTCACGTGACAGTGGCGATGGTATTGGTCAGGTGTTGAGCAGTGCCTGGTTTCTTCCAAAGATAACGCCTGGCATTCAAACCAAAGTCTTCAATCTTTGTCTCATCAGACCAGGAAATTTTCTTTCTGACGGTCTCAGAGTCCTCCAGGTGCATTTTGGCAAACTCCATGCAGGCTGCCATGTGCCGTATACTAAGCAATGACTACCATCTTGCCACTCTGCCACACAGGCCACGATAGTAAAGTGCTGCAGAGATGGTTGTCCTCTTGGAAGGCTCTTTTCTTTCCACAGAGGTCCGCTGGAGCACTGACAGAGTGACCATGGGGTTCTTGGTCACCTCTCTGATCAAGGCCATTCTACGCCGATTGCTTGCTTTGGAGACCGAGTTCAAAGAAGAGTTTTCTTCTGATTTTGGGCTAAGCAGCCGAATTTCTTTAAACGTACTAGGTTCTACAAGTGCTGGATTACTAGATAAGGTAAAAAGGTAGAAACAAATGTACATTCATGTAAAAATAATCAGAACACAATATTCGGTAGGTCTTGAAAAATCAGTCAGAATCATAGGCACACTACGATTTGTGATCATATATATATATATATATATATATATATAGAGAGAGAGAGAGAGAGATATATATATATCTCTCTCTCAGTGGTTCTTAACCTTGTCAGAGGTACCCAACCAGTTCATATGCACATTCATGACTGAAAACTAAAAATATGATTTTACACAAATTTAAGACATAAAGGCGTTTATTAAAAATAGAAAAATAGTAAACACAATTAGTTTATGTATAAAGTATTCGTTTTTAAATTGTGCACAAAATGAACCAGCCAGCGATGGCCAAGCGAGCATGTCATAACTGACACGTTGAGTCGGGTATGTGTTATCCTCTGTTGAACCCCTGAGACTGATTCACCAAACCCCTAGGGTTCGATCAAACCCAGGTTTAGAACCACTTAGAACCACTAATTTTTATGTCTTATTCCTTCTATCAGATTCAAGTTATTTTTTTGGCGATCAGTGTGGATTTTTCTTTCATGAACAGCGGGGTACCAACAATTTTTTTCATGCATATACATTCTTCCTATCTGTGAAAAATAGCTATACGAGAGCAATTAAATGACCACTTTCTTATTCTTGTCTCTAATCTGATAAATTGATATGCATGCATACACCACACTGCCCTTAAGAGGCCAAGGTATGCACAGCACAACCAGGGTGCTCAACAAGGCACACAGCAGGGATAGTACAGGGGGACTGAGTTAATAATCACGCAACACAGCAAATCGATATTATCATTAGTTGCCAACATTTTTATTTCTGGATTTTTATAGATTCATTTTTGCAGCCTGAGTCGATTTAAAAAGAGCTAGCTTCTGAAATGCTCCAAAAAAGTTTCCACCCCTCTTGTTTTGTTGGTATCTTACTGGTGTGTCTGTTTCAGGTACAATAGTGTGTGTTTCATAATACAGGCTCATGTGGCTTCTTTCACACGTTTCTTTTCTCTTTTGAATTTCTTCCGACAGGAAAACCTTTCATTCATTCTAATAGCAGTGCTGTAGTTTATAGTCCGGCCAGCATCGCAGCCCCTGCCGGCAGGGGCCGACATCAAGGGAAGTTGCTGCAACAGCCGACCTCCGCTGCAAGTCAGCCACAGCACATCAATCACCTCCACTCGCAGGTCAGTGGGAATACACGTGTAAACAATTATTTTTTTCCAATGCATCAAAGGGTGCCGTGATCTTGAAGTATGCAGGCTTAATAGAAACGCATCTACTTTCCTAGCCCGAGCCGCTTCATCCAGCTCTTCCGGGGATATCCCGATAAAATCCTCACCAGCTAAGTGGTTGGGTAGAAACACCCTTCTGAGGAAACTCATTTCAGCCATTTGTATTTGTGGTTTTTGTGACTATATATAGATGAGGGTTAGAACGTAGGTCAAACAGTAAATTGTCAATTTGACTTTAGGCTCCGTCTTCCACATGACAGACAGTCCGCATCACTGTAGATGTTGCACCAATCCATCCGTCGATCTGCCACTCTTCCCTCACTCGTGAACAAGATACTTATAGAATCTCATCCGGACCCAGTGAGGGTCTCCACGCTTTAACGACTGAGAACCACAGTCGTAGATTTCCAGGTACTAATTCTCATCCCATTCACTTAACACGCTGCTGTGAATCATTCCAGCGAAAGTTATATATTGCGGCTTGATGCGGCCAACGGAACCACATCATGTGCAAAAAGCAGAGACCCAATACCAAGGGCACCAAACCAGACCTCCTTCAATGCCAGATCTCTGCTGAGGAGAAAAAAGAAGAGCTTTGTCCACTGTTCCATGACCAAAAAGAAAACCACACGGTTACCTCTGAATCTGAGGTTTTGACTTTCAGCCCAACCCTCCGCTCCGGAACCCTTAATAGACCTTAAGATGGAGGCTGAGGAGCGCATGAACATGTTTTCAAAAAGGGCAACCATCTCACTGGTGTGACGATCCAGAAGCACGCTTTCTGATGTCCACACAATGTTGCAGAGACGTGTCAACTAAGACCATTCACAAGATCCACAGCCTTTAGGAACTCTGGGCGAATCAAATCTAAACCTGCATCCTTCCAAAGAGCTTTTTGACCACATAGATGACCTCAAATCAAGAGATTGGAGAGCCCAGCTCAGGGTCTCCCAGCTTTGTTTCCCCTTCTAAAGACAAGTCTGTGGAATTGAGGTTTTCAAACTATTCTCCCCATCGACTCACAACTTCCTGAATTGAGGACCATCCCCACTAGGGTGGTCCACATTTTCATGGCAAAAAAAAAAGTTTGTCGGATTCGTCGGGCCGGGTCGGAATTCTTGTCGATACTATGGTACAAGGTTCTGTGCAAAATTTCATTCCGATCTGATGATATTTTCCTGTCCCGCAAAGCGGCCAAAGTTTCCACCATAACAACTGGTATCAATCGGGTGAACATGTGTATTTTAACCGTGCCCTGTTTGCCATGCGTGACACTGGCTGGGCTGAATGTTGCCCGAACGATCACCTCCTGACTAACTAACCATTCCATCGCTGCTCTCAGCAGCCGGAGACAAACTCAAACGCACGCCTAACACACAACGGTCACCTACTGGCGAGCTAATATCTTTCAATTGAAGTCGAGAATCGCCGGAATTCTTACTGGACGCTG